ATATGTAGGCAAGTATATTTCTCCTTTTTTTATCAAGAAGCAAAAAGAAAAAGGAAAAAAAGGAAACAGGGTTTGGTGGCTGAATCATCGTCCCCACCAAAGCCAAAACCAAATCTAGGCCCTTGATTCCTTCAGTGCCCTAAGTGGTCTCAGAGTTGTTACTGATGTCTTTGGTTATGGACATTATTCCTGTATCTGTTGCAACCTTCAGCCAAATGGGTCAGGTTACCTGTGTACACGACACAGAGCAATTCTGCTGTGTCAGCTCATAGGCAGAGGTTTAATACTAGAAGCCTAAAAGGCTTTAAATATGGATACATTTAGCTGGAAACACACGTTTGTTTTAATCACGTAAACAATATACAAAGTTTATTTAGTGAAGAAAAAACTATACAAAATAAAGCTGATACATTTCAATATTGCTTCACCTGTTCTGATTCAGTTACATGGATTAGTGGGGGCTCCATCAGGACAAGAATATGGTGTTGCTGAAATCCTGCTTGATTTTATTCACACACAACTTTCTGCTGACTACATATCAGCGCTGTGCATCCAAAGAGAAAAACAGGAATGCTGCTCAAGTTTTTATTGACGTGGTCAGCTGTATGTCACATAAACTTAAATGTTGTTCAATCCTAACTGTACAAACTCAAGTTTAAAAGGTTAGAGTAAGCTCTGTTCAACAATAGCTGAGTAAGCAGGAGGGGGGAGATGCAAAGGACGCTCTTCTTAGGAGTCCTCCTTCTCTTGATACCTACAGTGACAAAATGAGACGATGAGCAAACAATCACAACAGCAGCAACATATGGTGACCTCATGATGATTACCTGCAGTGTATGCAGGAGAAAAAGACTGTTTGTCCTTCATCTGCAGACCTCATCTGCCTGGTATGGTAAATCATACCCTCTTTGTTGCAACGAGAGCAGCGCCTGTCAATCTACAGGAAGCAGAGAGCTTATTAGTAGCACATAGAGCTGTTGGCATCATGCAGTACACTCAGCAGGCAGCAAACAGGCAGCACTCACCACAGGACCCTTCATTTCAGAGTCCTCGTCATCCTGAGACACAGCCGTCTGCTCCACAGGGTTAAACACCACGGCAGAATAGATCTCCTGACCTGAGAACTCTGAATGAGCAGAGAAGAAATCATCTGTGCACTTATCACTCACTAATGTGTTATCAGTGCTTAAAAACAACCCCACACCATAACCCCCCCAACAAACTTTAGACTTGGCTCAATGCATTCAGACAAGAACTGCTCTCCTGGCTACCACCAAACCCAGACTCAGCCAGAAAAAGAGGCGTGATTCATCAATCCAGAGAACAGGTCTCCACTGCTCTAGAGTCCACGTGCTTCACACCACTGCATCCAGCACTTTGCATTGCATTTGGTGATGTGAGGCTTGGATGCAGCTGGTGGTCACGGAAACCCATCCCATGAAGCTCTTTACACACTGTTCTGATTTAATCTGAAGGCCACATGAAGCGGCATCCTATCACGTTACCATGCTGGAACTCACTGAGCTCCTGAGAGCGACCCATACTTTCACAAATGTTTGCAGAGGAGGGCTGCATGCCTGGATGCTTGACTTTCTCACTCACTATGTGTTAACAGACCTCTCTGTATTGAATCATATCTGTTATTAACCTCTGTCTCTCTTCCACAGCATGTCTTTATCCTAGTACAGTTAGACAAGGATCTGGAATATGAACTGTTAATTACGCCCATCCTTGTGGACTAGTTTGTCTGTTTGTTGTTTTATCTTGTGCTTTTGTTTTTATTGTTCTTTATTTTGTCTTTGAAAAGGTAATATCTCTCCATACTGTCTCCGTTTTGGAAAAAGCGCTTGCATACCCTGATAAACCCCCAGGAAACTGAGGCTTAACTGTGGCTGTAAAGCAGCTGATACAGATCTTACAAAGGTATAATCCACAGATAATCCAATCTGCACTTATACCTTTCAAAGCTGCTCCGTCTTCCAACCTGA